CATCTGGGAGATGGTACCCCACTCAGCTCTGTTCAGGGGGGTGCTGATCCCTATCTCCCCAAGCAAGGCCATCTCATGGATAGCCTTCTGTTGCTGCACCAGCCTCTTGAGCATCAGGCATGTGGAGTTCCAGCGAGTCTGCACATCCTGCATGATTCTGTGTTGCGGGATGCTGAGCTCTGCCTGTTTCTCCCGCAGCACCTTCCCCCCTTGATGCTGCAGTGGAAGTAACCTTCCACCTTCCTGCATTTCGAAATCACTTGGCTTGTAGCAGTATTGGTGGCAGTGCCATCACTGGCAGCCCTGTCCCCCTCCAAGGCATCCCTCACTATTAGGTGCAGCCTGTGTGCTGCACAGCGGATACCAACTAAGTTGGCATCACAGACAGCCTTCACCATATTGACCCCGTTGTCAATGACCATGAACCTGCAGGTGAGCTTGGCCTGCCCAATGAGCCACCCCTGCACCATGTAGTTCATGGCCCCATGATCTCCCTTGCCGTGTGGGACTCATTCAGCACCTCAGCTTGCAGTAGAGCCCACTGATGGCCTGACTGAACACACCAGTGCCCTGTGAGGGAGAGGTAGGCGCGATCACCACCCTGGCTGCTATAGATGTCTGAGGTGAAGTGCAAGGCTACCTGAGGCCCTGCCTTGCGCAGATCCTCCCTCAAGTACTCCCTGCATGCCTCATACAGGGAGGGCACCACTGCCCTGCTAAAGGTGGTGCATGCGGGCCCTTTGTAAAATGGGGCCAGAAGTGCTACAAACTGCCTGAACCCTGGTCGCTCAACTAGGGAGAAGGGCTGGCTATCCAGAGCAAGCATCTCCCTAATGCTCTGGGTGATCTCACTCACCTTGGGAAACATGCCCCCCCTTTCTGTCCACCTTGCCCCCACTGGTCCAGGGTGGCCTGCCTCTGCTGTGGGGTAAGGGGGCTTTGGAGCAAGCGGGGGGTACTTCCCTTTTGGCACACTTGCACTGGTGCCAGGTTGAGCAGCAGGAAGAAGGGCAAGGGGGTGCTGCCTCCTCAGATGCAGCAGCACAGCCATGGTGGAGAAGTGTCTCATGTCCTTGCCACAGCTTGTGTGCCTTCGGCAGTGCTGGCAGATGGCAAACCTGGGATCATCTGCCACCTCAAAGTGATCCCACTCTACACTACTCCCCCGCTTCTGGATTGAGGGCGAGGATCCTGCCTTTTCCCCTTTCTCAGCAGGCTGAGGCTGAAAAGCAAGAGGAGCTGCCTCAGCTGAGCCACTTGCCTTCACAACCTCAGCCTCCTCCAAGGTGCTGCTTTCCAGAGGAGACCTGGGTCTAGGGGAAACGTGAGGGGTTTGGAGCACTAACTCTGATTCCCCCTCAGTCCCCAGAATTGCCTGAGCCAGCGTGCTCAGCATCCGTGGTTCAAGCTCCAGCTCCTCCTCTGGCAGTGGGAGGCTCACACTGAGAGCTGAAATTGGGGTGGAAGAGGCAGCGATTCCACTGCTGGTGCCCATGTCTGGACTGAGTGGAGGTGGTGCAGATGCAGGGATGTCAGGTGCAGACACTGCTCCCACCCCTTGGCTTCCACCCGCAGCACCGATGTCACGGCTGCTCAGGAATAGAATGCATCTGTGTTTGGGACGGGGGGAGCTTGCAGCTCTAGCTCCCCCCTACCCCCTCTCCCTCCCCTGCCAGAAGACCTGGCACCTGCCCTTCCAGCACAGTTCATATTGATCTTTCCTGTGCTGCAAAAGGTCTGTGTGTGCATGTGAATCTTTTTGTATATCTGTCTGTCTTGTTCTGCTGTGAGTATCTGTGTCTTGTTCTGCTGTGGACATACTTACCCACTCCTTCATAATAAGAAAAAGGAGCAGGCAAGTCTCAGTCTGAGCATTCCTCTCTGACAATTGCTGACAGGGAATGAGCTGCAAAAAGAGGCTTTTATGCTGTTTCTAGTCCCACCCCACAGATGCTACCATTGGAAAGGTAGCCAGGGAGAAATCCTTCTCACTGGCTACCTACAGACATCAGTCTTCCCCTCCGCTCCCCCTCTCTCCCACCTCTCCATCCCTCCCCCGCTCCCCCTCCCTCTTCTAATTGTGCCTCAAGATGGCTGAAGCAGGTCTGAAGAATTCAAAGTGGATCCGAAGTGCCTCAGATGCTCCAACCCACTTTGGATATCATTGCTGCGACCCTGCTTCGATCCGGATGGGCCGCTTCAGATGCCGAAGTGTCCGAAGCGGCTCTGGATCCGAAGCGGGATCTGAAGACTCACACAGCCCTAATGCCCGCACAGTTTTACATGCAGTTGTGGGGGCACCCATTGTTCCAAAATGTTTGTTCTCTTAAGTAGATTTGGGGAGTTTGCTACTTCAGATCACCTCCTATAGGAACCCAGGCAAGAGGTGCCATGACAACAAGCACCACATTTGTAAGATTTGTACGTTGTGCCCAAACTGAAAACATGGTACCAAGGTTCCAAAATGTCTCTGAGGTAACTTAAGCATTAAACCTACTATCATAGTTTGCTCAAGACGTGTTTGGCTTATAGAACAGATCCTGTGCCTGAAGATTGTATGTTGTATTACTCCCTCTGTTGAACAGTTTATTAATTCACTTGTCTAGCTGGCTATAAATGTGTGTCCCATTGCAGTAAAAAACCCTGTGGTATGTTCACCTGAAAAATTAACTAAATCCAAGAGCCAGGGGATCATGGACAAGAACAAGCTGTGGCAGCACAGACTGGCTAGGAGAGGAGGAAGCAGTGTTACAGGCTGATGGTAAAGTAGCAATTTGCATGAGACTCAAGATACAAGCAAGCAAGTTTTAGGTTTTGGTTTCCATGTTAACAGCCACACTGGTGTTGCTTTAAAAATCTTTTTAGTCAATCTATTCCCTGAAACAACCAACACCAACAGCAGAGTGCTTTAGTGGTTCACAAGAATAAAACATCACTGCTTTAAAAGAACTGTATGGCCTCAGTGACCAGGATGAAATTGCTGGCAGCATGAAGGACAGTTTGGCACCTGATTCACTGACTTTCATGGGAACTGAACCTGTCAAAACCGTGATCCTTAGAATGCAGGACCTTAACTGAACGTGCTGGTACCTGTCAAAGCACTTGTTTTCAGACAATGGCTAGGCTTTATGAATCCAGCAGAGCACGTATACATAGGGGATTGGATTTTGTGCAACAGGTCAGGGAGTAAGGAAGATCTGCTGACTCTCAACAGCTAGGCAATATAGGGGACACAGAAGCTTTAAGTACTTTAACCTTTTGCAGCCCAGTGCATTGTATCATCTTCTCTCAGCTAGGGAAAGCAGTCTATTCTTTTGAAAAAAAGTCTCTTTAAAGAAGCAGACAGACAGCTCTTCTTAGCTATTGTCAGGTTTATTTGGAAATGGCACTGTGTTTATATCACTCGTTTCTTCATAACTATGACTACAGCAACCAGAACGGAGAGACCAACCGCACACAGCATTACTGCAGCACCAGGAATCCAGAGGTGTGCTGCTGAAAAGAAAATAAGTGGTTGTGTTCTTTAATCTCCGTGGCAGACCTTATGCACATCAGTAGAACATCTCCCATCTCAGTGAATGTTGGGAGGCTGGGGTCACTTCCTCTGATATGAAAGAGCCATATTATCTACTAAACATCACATGAGTGAGCAAGATACATCTAGGCAGTGAAGACACACCCAGATTGTCATATCTGTGTACTTCAGGGCTATGGTTTAATCAGTTCCTTGCTCCTAACATTCATTAAAGAGCTAGCCCTTAGCACTCCCTTTCCAGAATCAGTACCTGCTCTGGTCTTGATTCACCATCCACCTTTTCCTGATCTTCCAAGCAAATCAGTGATACAGCACAGACAAGCTGGCTGAGGAGAAGGCAGATTCAGAGAGTGGGATGAGGCTCTCATTACCCATTCTACAGCTTGTAATTATGACCCTGTGCAGATTACAGTCTAAGAGCATAGAGATGTTTGAAAGACTCTGAATTTCCACATTGTGGGGTACAGAACACAGCAGCCTCATTCAACAACAAAGCATAACCTATAGAGGAAGTGTCACTGCCCTTGCTCCACTTTGTGCTGCTCCCATCCTAGCCAGGAAGGGATATACATACCCCAAACATCCTGTCGTTCTCTACTAGAGTCAATGTCCTGTGCTCCAGAGAGTGGAGAGGCCAGAAGATGGATGGGTCCATAAGAGACAATCTTCCTGTAGTCATCCTCAAGAGACCTTTTCCTCTTGAACTTCCTAGGACATTCCTATGAACAAAATAGAGATAAGCAAGCAAAGACATGGGGATGAGGATATGTTTGCACTTTCTTCTTTCTCATACACAGGAGAAGTATCCCATCCTCTTGATTATGAGCTCGGCTTTCCTTCTTACTAAATGAATATTGTGCCCAACTTGTCGTTTACAGTGACATCACAATGAAAAGCCTGCAATTCCAAGTTCATATAAAACACTATAAGCTACATAGAGGTTAGCAGCTTGTTTATTCAGCATTCAGGCAAACTGAAAAGCTAGATGTAGATAGCTGTCATTACAAGAAAGGCTTAAGTAAAAGGTCTTCCTCCATAGGTTAGTATTTGGATTGCAAAGAGGCAAGAAGAGGGCCTCCATAACTGAGCAACTGTCCCTTAAGAGGAAGCGGTCTGGCTGTGTTCTTCCTTTATGAAAAAACTAGTCAGAGCCAGGTGGCTGGTGTCTGAACTGGGGAGAAACTACATGATAAAGGACACCATTTTTAAAGGGGCCTCAGTTGGGTCTCCTACTGCACATCCATGAGTCTTGTGTGATAAAAGCCTTGTGTGATAAAAGTCTTGTGTAGATGGCTAGCTACCCGAGTGACAGTCATAAAGAGGAAGGCTAGTCTGAAAATAAGTGAAATTAGGGCCCTTGTATCTTTACTTTATTTTTTTCATGCAAGCCAGCTCTTATGGAATGTTCTTCATTCAGCTGAGTTAATTGAACTAAATGTTGTGTGGAAGTAAAGCTCTCTACCTCCAACAAGCAAGATCGAAGGAAGAAGGTTTCTTGGAAGGTTAGGTCAGTCCTGATGGCAAGGAAGCCTTACCCTGATGCAGGGCTCAGGGCCATCAGGATGACACAGCTGAACTTGGCAGTGCAGGAACACCTGAGAGTAGTTGGTGAACTTGAACAGCAGGAAGCTGAACTTTGCCATGGTGCTATTTCCAATAGCATTGATGTATGTCACTGTCTCATCATGTGGACACCTGGAACAGGGGGAAGCCAAAGGGTTGAGTCAGCCTGGGCCTTTTTGCAGTATGAGATGTAGGTCCCCGCCACCCCACCATGTTCTGTCATTGGAAAAGACTTTGTATACGAGAAGCCTTGCTTTCCACAGCACAGGTCAAATGCAGATGCCAGACACAGGTAGAAATGGGTAGACTTTTTTCAGCATTTAGCAAAATGGAAGATTTTTCTCATCAAACATTTTCATTTAAACTCCACTCTTTTCCCTCTCTTCTCCCACACATTATTTTCCTCCTATTCCTCCCCTTTCCCCCACTGGAATAGTTGGGGGAAATGAGAAAAAGAAACTTGCATTCTTTTTCCCTCTGGAAAAAGAAACTCTTGAATTAGAGTCTCCTTCAAATTTAAATCTCTTTCTTTGAAGGTTTTCAAGAAAAGTATGAATAAGTATCTGTCTGGGATGACTTAGGAAAACAGTCTGAAAATTAATGAGATCAGGGCCCTTGTATCTTTAATTTAAAGATACAGGTATCTTTAAAGATGAGCATCAGTTTAGGGAGATCACCCTTGAAGTCCTTTCCAACACTGATTCTATGATTTTGATCAGCCATAATCTTTGAGTTTGATTTTCTTGGTGGAACACTGCAAAGTGCTGACTTACCTTTGCTGTACTGATGTACTATCAGCAGAAGGAACTAAAGCCACATGTTCTTCATAGCAACAATTGCTTGTGATTATATAACTATCACTTATGGGGTAGGCAGCTTTTCTACCTTGTTATCAGCATTACTAAATCCCTCTCCTGCCTGCATCTGGAGGAAGACAGGAGCAGTCTGCCCCTTATTCCACCTTACAGCAGCAAGGAAAGATGTTCTCCCTCCAAAGATGGGTTAGGGTTAGGACATATGGGTTTTGTTATGCTCCCTTTGGCATGAGAAAGCTGGAGCCCTGCCACTCTTACCCCTTCCAGATAAGCTGGTGCCGCACTTCCTGGTTGGGGTCTGCAGTTGGGGTGGTCCAACAGTCCTTAATGCTCAGGAGGAAGTATCGCAGCAAGTTCTGCCCTACCAGCTGCAGCAGGACATAGAGGGTCTCCGTTACTGGGAGGACAGCAGGCTGCTCCTGGTAGGGCTCCATGTAAGAGGAGGTCTTGTACAGGTTCATGGTGACATTGAACTTCCCTTCTTTGACAATGAACTGCACCTGCCTAGGAGAAAATCAGGAAGACCAGGCTTCAAGTTAGAAGAAGGCAAGTTGGAAGCAGCACCAGACATCACCAGCCACTCATAACAAATGCTAGTGGAAAGTCCCAGTACCTCCCATGTGGAAACCTTTTGCTGGGACCCATTGCCAATCTTTAGTGACAGCCATGCACAATGAGATAGGCCTCTAATCTGGAGTATCTGGGCAGCATGAGGACAAAAGAGAAAGAGGTTTCATGGACACTGCCGTTCCCATTAAGGTTGGCCTACTGGCCTATTTGTACAGTACCCAAGAGATCTCTCCTCACACACACCTCAAGAGGTGTTAGTTGGGGGTGTTTTCCTGGGCCCTCTAGCTCACTTGTGAACTGCAAGACAGCTTGTTTGCATTAAATGGCTAGGAGGAAAGGTTGGTCTCCAATGTCCATGTTCTTATTAATGCATCTCCTGAAAAGTGAAACCCTCGCTTCCCTTCAACATGTACACCTAAACTATAGGCCAGCTTCAAACAAGATGGACACCTTGCCTACCTACAAGTTTCTGTGGTTTCACTTCACCCAGTGTGAAGAGGGCAAGTCTGCCTCTGGCCCACTTGGGTCTGCAATCCAAGCTGGTCATTTGGCTCACTCTGAGAGAAGTGAGGGGAAGGGGCTTTGACATGATGCAGCTCTCAAAGCTTGCCCCATTCCTCTGCAGATCTCTATTTCATTCAGGGGACTAATTCTCACAGCTTTTTTAAATACAAGAGACCCCTATTTCAGAGGCTAAAGCAGACATCACCCCTATTGACTACTGATGGAATTTTGGATAACTGGGATCAGATCTTCTATGTACAATTTTGACAGTGCAATATAGGCAGAGGGTAGAAACTACACAATGATGACCATGCTGCACCACTGGGCCAAGGGCAGAAAGAGAGCTGACACATCAAGGGAAAAGAGAGTACAAGCAACTCACGTGTCAATGGCAGTGAGGGAGAAGGGAAGCCCAACAACCTGCTCATAGGCATAGACACAGGTGAAGTTCAACCTCAGAATGACACTCCTGGAGATCACACTCTGGACTTCCCTGTCTGACTCTATCACATTGGAGTAAGATACATGTGATGTGTTTTGCTGGAATGGGAGAGAAACGGTCTTCAAATCACATCCTTCATGTCAGCCATGTGCTTGACTTTGTACTTGTCATGGCTTACCTGCTCCTGCCTGTAGCAAGGAGGTCAGAGGCCTTTGTTAGATACTGCTATTGATCAGTTTCCCAAACTGGGGTATACAATGAACTGCTAGAGGGCAAGTGAGAAGAAGGAAAGAGAAATCAGAGGAGGGAAAGGGAGGAAAAGGAAGAGAAAGGAAAAATCAAGAACAATTCTACACTATCATTTGGGTTGCAGGAGAGGATATGATGTGGTTGCAGCAATGTGAAGTGTTGCTCTGTATTATTCATAACACAGAATCATAGGGCTATACAGCAGTATCACACTAAAACATGGGGCATGACACTCCTGCCCCCCAAAATTAGGGAATCATAGTAATAGATTTTCAATAGGAAGATGCATTGTATGTTCCAAGGCTCTACTGTAGCAGACATGGTTCAGCATCTAGCAGTGAAACAGAGATTTGTGCTGCACAGAGACATTAAGCTAAACCACACCTCATAGGTGTCCTATGGGACAAGAACTAGGACTTTATACTCTAGAAAGGAACTTCTGCCTCTTGATCAGTGAAGTTTTCCATTAGCTGGCAACAATCCAATCCAATTCTGAGGCTAAAGCACCAAGAGATGATGTTGTAGTACTACTGTCTCATGGATCATTGGGAGCTTTTAGTTAGGAAACAGAGAATGAAGAGCACCATGCTCTGTTGGACAAGCCAAGCACTGTGCCCCCTGAAGCAATTCAGCAACAGTAGAGAAAGAACTACTGACTATCCTACATGTTTTACATTGGCCACCTTTTCAGCACTCTTGAAGAAACTTATATTTAAAGCTAGGACCTTTTGGTACCAATGCTCTTCAGAAATAAGATATGCCCACTTGTCTATCACCTTGGTATTGTGTCTAGGAATGGCTTCCTGTTCTTCCAGCTTCCAATCAGAAGTATCCATAGATGGACTCTTACCTGAATTACTGACCCACATACAGTATGGTTCTTGCCAGTGAGAGTGGCTGCAAAGAAAGTCGCTCCCCCTTCCTCTTTTTCTGACACCTTGCAAGTGCTGTTCTTCAAGTGGACAAGTGCCAAGGGGATTCTTAATAAGCTAAATGCTTCCTTCCTCACCATCATCTTCATGTGATCTTCCTCACATGTGAGCTTCAGGACCACATCTGGGGAAAAAGTGATCTGGAATAGCAATAAGGATGAGGCCTGAAGGGGCCCTCAGGTCACCTGTGGTATGACCCAGCACTACTGCATGCAGTACATCATTTTGACAGTGGCTAGAACTGCCAGTCAGGATTTGCCCCCCTCAATTGACAAGATCATGGAAGATCTGCTGCTGCCTCCAAGCTGAAAGACATGACTTTTAAGTTTAGAACCATAGATCCACAGGTCCTGAACTTAAGTCATCATGGCTAAAATGTCCATAGGGACATTACAACATATACCATCACCCTGGGAAGCTGAAAGGGACTCTTCTGGCTAAACAGCAAGCAGCAATTTTGGTCACCTTTTTCTGGAAGCTCTTGATTTGGCTATGCTGAAATCTCTTATAAGTAACTAATGGAAAAGCAGGTTCTCTCAGCCAGAGGTTCTTAAGTTTCCTCCTATTGTAAAGTCCTTGTGTTATGGACTCTTACAGATATCTTCTCACAGACTCCCCATTCTACATCAACATAGTGTTCATTTTATCATAGTGGCAGGGGGATAGGCTTAAGTTGACAAAGGGCAATTGCCCTTTTTTCATACAGTGACAGTGAGTGAAGCTGCTTAGTTAAGAAAAAAGGAGGAGGGGGTGTCTGCAGCAGTAATCTCTTCTCTCAAATGCAGCTCTTCACGTTTATTAACACTGGGTCTCTATTTATCCTCCTGCAACATTGTCACCCTCTGATCATGGCTGAGTTAGTCCAGAAATCTGAAAAGAGACAAAGCAGCTGAGCTAGTGCCAGCAACTTTGCTCATTTTGCCCAACTTTTTTGGCTCCAAAAGTCCCTGAAGTGGGTTACAACCAGCAAGATTCATTCTAAATTGATTGAAGTATATTGAACTCTCACAGAAGCACCTCCAGCATGTCCTTAGAAGAGATGGGCTTTCTGTGGGCCACAGATCAGCATAAGAAATGTTGTCATAGGGCCGAAGTGGGCTCCTGGAGTATTAATGCTGCTGTAGCAAGAGATGGCTTAGAGATCCACCCTTGTTTCCCCTCTCCAGGATTGGCAGACACCCACATTTTCTTGTGGAAAGGAAGAAATTAGTTTCCCTCATTTACTGTAGAAGGCAATTCTTTTATTACAAGCACAGCTATCACATGAAGCCTTCACCACCATTGGAAAAGATATCAGCATCATATCAAATACCTGCCCCATAACACTCTAAGTAGCCGCTCCTACTTCAGCAAGTCCTTTTATCATAGCAGTTGATGGAGACATGTAATGGAATGTAAAGGACTGAGCTCTTACTCACAAAAGCTTATGCATCGCGGATTCAATTAGTCTATATGGTGCCTCTCTACCCTGCCTTCAGACTTTGGTTCTGTGCCTGTGAGTAGGCTGAAGCAGAGCCCAGTGTCACACCCACCCTCCACTCTATCTCCCTAGGCCTACCTTGACAGAATGGCCCAGTGAAGCCAGGCTTGCAGATGCAGGGTGATTTCTCCTCAACTCTCTGACATTCTCCCTGGTGCTTACATGGATTGGGCCAGCAAACATGTGGACTTCTTTTGGGACGAAGGACAGCTCCCATTCTGCCATGTGGCTTCCTCAGATCAGCTACATCAGAGGGAACATGCATGTGTTTAAAAGAAGAATGACTACTTGTAATAGTGGAGCAAGCTCCAGTCAACTCATGCCCAGGTCTGAGTAAAGGCTCTGCTCAGCAGGGGGTGGGACATTTATTTAAAGCAAAAACAGAGTCTCTCTTATTTGAAGTCACCATTTAGATTCCCAGACAATCTTTATGTCAATGACTGACCTCTGCTGAGGCATCAGAAATTAAAGATACAGTCACACTTGAGCACCCACCAAGAAAGCCTCCATCTTCCCTTGTTTGAGCTGAAACCGTCAACATCTAATCTCAATTACATTCATGTTGCATGGACCAGTGTAGAGCTCAATGCACTAACTCTAGTATTGGGAACTATCCAGCTGCACTAGCATGGTGCTTCTATGAGTTAACTTACTTTGCTCAGAGACAGGGTGAATGTGATGATTTTACAGCCTCTGAAGAACTGTCACCACTGGCTTGGCAGGTAGTAGGCTTCCTACTGCCAGAAGGAGAGAATGATTTTACCCTGCTCCCAAAGCTTTAGTGTAACTGTTGCATTTGTGTGTGTGTGTTCCTCCTGTTTCCTCCCTTCCTGAAACCCTTCCTTTCAAATTAGGATTTCACCTTCCTTTTTCACATTTTATCTGGCTTTGTCCCTCAAGATGTCATTTAAAGAAACTCACTATGGTAGCTCTCACTGCCAGCCAGCCAGAGAGCAGAGATCAGCATCCAGAGCATCACAGTCGCTCCCTGAAAAAACAAGCAGGTTCCAGTTTGTTTGGATTTCTAGCATGCTCATCAGTTATGTGTGGAGATGCTGATAGTCAGTTATAAAGAATCCTCTCATAGCATGATGAGATGACATACTTAACCTGTCTAGAAGGCAGGAAGCACACTTTCCTTTACAATTATGGTTCTCCACTTTTTTCACTACCCCTCGTTGGTCCCAAGGTATCTCTCAGAAAATGGCAGCTTTTAGCTTTCACTCCTTTTAAAATTATTATTATGGGAAAATAATAGAGCAATTCTTCTGCTGCGAAGAACTTGCAAAGCTCACAGCAGGATAGAATGGTTTTGCTACTATAGATTCCTATTTGAAATCTCTGGGTTTATTTTTTGAACCATGTGTAAGTGTTTGCACATCTAACAGTGCTAATATTGTGTAGCACTCCACAACACTATTGAAAGGATCTTATGGCACCCCAGGGTGTTGTGGCACGCTGGTTAAGTATCACTGCTTTTGCATTAATTCACAGGCAACTGGTAGGAGGTGCACAGGGGTGCACACACCCCTCCCGATGGGGCCAGTGCCGCCCCCCCCCCCCCCCGTGGCGACCCCCGACGCTTGCGGCTGTGCGGGAGA